GGGCGTCACTGCCCAGGCTCTGACGTAGGCCTGCCGGGCTTCGTAGCGGGGGATGATGAGCCACAAAAATGGTGATTTACCCCCTGGTAAACTAACAAAACTATGCAAAATCACCATTTTCAATGGGTAAATCCACTATAAATGGCTATTTTCAATAGCTATGTTAAATTACCAGAGTGTAACCACTTGACCCACAGAACTGGTGGTTCCACCAACAAGAATAGGTCTTAAGCCACAAACCATGGGAATTATGGGATGATTCTTGGGATGATATTTGGATGATGGGATCTGCATTGCCCGGGGCTGCATGCCAGCAATTTGTCAATATATAACCTATGCATAATTGGGGTCAGGAGAAACCTTTTTCTTTGAGTAGTCAAATCTGCAGTTACCATAACGTGCTTAAATATCCTCTTTGCTGAAAGTTAAACACACATGTTTCGCTCTAAAATTCCACATCAATCTAGTATCTAAATCCACACTGTAGTTGTTTAAATCCCAATTTCTGCAAGAAAAAAAACTGCAATTTTCATAAATTTTCCATAGTTGTGCTCAGTTCATTCCGCCCTTTTGGTGGAGTCCCCAATTTTTGTCCTGCTTACCCTCTGGTAATTTAACATAGCTATTGAAAATTGCCATTTATAGTGAGTTTTCCCATTAAAAATTGTGATTTTCCATAGTTTTTTGTATGTTTACCAGAGGGTAAATCACCATCTCCACCTCCCCCCATCCGTCGAGGCACTTCCCGCCGAGGCCAGGCGTTTGAGGCCCTGGTAGTGTCGGAACCATCCCGGACGCCGCAGGGCGGCCACGATGCAGCGGAAATTCTCCGGGTGGACCTGTTGGGCCAAGGGGATATCATGGGGATCAGGGTAACTTGAAGGTCAATTGAGTCTTAAAGCATCATGTTTTGGTAGAAAAAATAGGGAATATCAGCAACATGGGGATCTAAAATATCTAAAATCTAGAATAATTCAGGATTTCAGGATCATGGCATCAGGTGTTCATGGGGCCCATTCTGTCTCAAATGCCCGCTTTTCTTGGTTTCAATCCATTCACTCTCAATATATGTGGATTAAAGCATGTTTTTCATTCGATAGATCCAAGTTCTTTGTTGTTTCACTCCTCATTTTTGTTGTTTAAATCCAATCTTTGCAAATTCCTAATTGTGTTGTTTAAATGACAATTTCTGTTGCGTAAATCTCCATTTTTGTGGATTGATTGAATTTGATTTTCCTTGCTTAAACTCTAATGGTTTGCTGTTTAAATCCCAGTCCCACGTTTTTGTGGCTTAAATCCACGGTTTGGTTTGAACTCCAATTTTTTGCTGCTTAAATCTGGTTTCATCATCGATTCTTGTGTCTTAAAGCAGCATTGTTGCTGCTTTTTTCCAGCTTTTCTGTAGGTTAAACCACCATTTCTGTTGTGGCACCGCTTTTTTTCAGCATTTCCCAGGGTCCTAAAAAGGCGCCTGTGGCCCCGTCAGCAGTTCACTGGTGCCGCCGTCCGCCAGCACCGGGCGCGCCAAGGAGGCGCAAGGCACCGGCGGCGAAGGACCGAGGTAACGCTGCCTGAGATCTCGGTGGGCACTGTAAAGATCTGAAG